CACGTCTCAAATTGGGAGAGAGAGGAGAAGAGACGGGAGGTGCATATATTACTGATTTCTGTTTAATGTTTTTATTCTTGACTCGTATCTGCATTCTGGTGTTGGTGAATTATAAGAAGCTTTCGTTATATATGCAGAGGCACACATCAAATGTTAAATGGCAACATTACTCATTTACGTTCTAAATGAATTGGACGTTCATTTCTTTTATAGTTAACGATAATGATTGGCCACAGTTTGAATTAATATAAACATTTTCACAAATAAGCTTTTCTGAAAGTCATCGATGAAACAAAGGCGTTGAAAATAAATATTGGCAATAAAAGTGGCTGAAAGTTTTATGGCGCCCACAATTTATTTATTTTTGTTGATAGCCACCGACGTTATGGAGTAATTGAAGAAGAAATTGGATGAAAATTATTTAACAGCAAGTTTTATTAATTTTATCTCGTTTTAGTGGGAAAACTTAGTGTTTTATTTGGAGAAATATAATCTATGATGAAATAAAAGGATATCTAAAGGTCAATATTCTGAGTTAATAGAATAATTGAGAATCGTTCATACTCAATAAAGACAGCGTAGGACATCACTAAAATAAGCAAATTGTTGCCAGATGATTGCATGTCTGTGTTTTGGATTATAGTTTGCATTTTAAAGAATACCAGATTTCATTATTACTAAATGAAATTAGATGAGTTACGTTTAGTCTCGTTAAAAACCCGCTTTATTTTCTTTCGTTCAACCATCACAAATTCATTTATCCTTGTCTGAAACCTTTGAAAAGAGGTGATTTCATCATATTATTTTAGTTATACAATAACAGAGTGATATTTAAAAGCAGCTTGATACAAATAGCCCACGAAAGTAAAGTCTGCACCAGAAGAAATCTGTGCAGCATTTGTGATAAGGTGAAAATAAACACCTAGTAAATTTTAAAGTCTATGAATATCTGAACTCTTTCAACTGATTGATGATTGGAGAAGTCAAAATAATTGCGGTGGATCCTTAACAAGCATTTGATTTGATCAACGATGGAGAAGAAAATGGTTGAAGGAATTAATACGTATACTGTACATTAGATCCTTCGATCTACTGATCGGGCAATAATATCAAATAGAAAGGAAGAAACGATTAATTAGAGGTTCCGAAAATACAGCACAGAAAATGGTGTGGTAGTGATATCATCTCGTTCAAATCAAGAACACTTGTTCGGTGTGGAGATCAAGGGTGTCAAAACCAAAGACCACGCAAGTACAACTATTGGTTACAGCGTATATGAAAGGGGAAGTGCATGTTCGGTTCAAATGTCAATGATGACCGTAGGTTAGAGTGTCCAAAACGTTGCAATAAAAACAACAAAGACAGGGGAAATTGTCAATGTTCAATCCTAAACGTGTTGGTGTAAGCAGGGCAAAAAGTATGTATTTTAATTGAGGCTGAAAATGAACATCGATCCATATTATCAAGCATCAATCCAGAAACCTCAAAACTATGCACTAGATAAATGCTTGTAATGTATTAATATCTATTATTAGCGGGAAAATTCTGAAATGTTCTTGCTCCGACTAAGACACTTTTTTCAAATATATAGAATAAAAAATCTTGTTTATTCATTTGGTCATAATTTTGGGAAATTAGTTGGGCCGAAAACTTTTCAACACTCCTCATAAATACTTATATAGTTGCATACACTATGGCTATAGTGTAAAATCGGACAAAATGATGTGTACGCGTACGCACACACAATCATACACACATTTTAATGTAGAAGCGTTGAGAGCAAATGATATTAAAGAAAAAAAGGCAGCAAGGAGCAAGCATGTTGTCGAGACTACATATTTTTAGAGTCACAATGTCCGGAAAAAATAAGGCAGAATAGCAACAAAATAAACAATGAAATCAGATTTCATGAAAATCAAAAGAACATAATCAACAAAAAAAATCAATAGTTGTGTATGATAAATTAAAGAACAAATAGTTGAAAAGAAAAATTATTACGTCAATAAAAGGGGGGGAGAAAGAGAAGCAGATAAAATAAGAAAACTTTGTAAAAACTCAAGAAAACCATTCATTGTTCTTTTTGTTTCTCATCGGCAAAATATGTTTTTAAATACGAAATAGATTTTTGTTTATTTTTTCATTTGAAACATTCTTTTTCAGTCTTTCATTTTATGTACTTTTTTCACTAGTTGCTAACATAATGACAGGTATACACGTAAGGCCGAAATAAATACATATAAATGTATACATACAAACGGACATACATACACTCATATACACTTCACAAATATAAACACTCACGTACCAACACACCGACACACATACGTATATGCAACACATACACATTCATGCAAGAACGCATATACACAAATATATAAAAACACACACATGTTTAAACATATACACTTTAACACATGTACAAATAATCTTCTGTTTCTTTCCTTTGATTCAATAAGAAATATTTGTCATTTTCACATAGTAACTTGGAAAATATATCTTTGTCTCTAATTCTGTCGTAGAGTCAACCATCTCTCTCTCTCTCTCTTTCTCTCTCTCTCTCTCTCTTCATCTTCGAAGATGAGAAGTAATTGTTTGACATTTAGAGCATAGAAAGAATCCAGTGTAATATTATGAAGCATTGTTGTTTTGTGTCATATAAAGAGAAAACGTCTTCACGATTTATGACCTCCAAATATTTTGTTCTTTCTTAACTGATCTGTTGAAATACAAAAAAAAATGATTATGTGATTGCTTCATATAAATATGAAGCAATCACATAATCATTCCTGGAAAAAAATTGGAGAAAAATAGTTGAATTCATTATAATTGAATAGAAAGGGCATTAGAAAAGGCATAAAATAATGTATTGTCTTAAATTTCGTTTTTTGAAAATTGTATTGAGCACGTTTTATTAAGTCGTTTCTTGGCTATTGTGGTCATGTGACCGAAGTTTGATCTTGATCACGCCAGTTTTCTTGCCACCGTCACAGTGTAAACATAGCCACCTCGCTAGCAGTGTGCACCAAAAAGCAGTGATCCGAATCTGTAGAGGATGGCAACTTACCAATCAATTATTAGCGTCTCTAGAGCTTACTGAATCTTCTCATCTATGATAAAGCTTGACCACGACCTGCTCATCTTTCGTGCGTCACGCTTGTCCGGCCATTCTTAAACTTCTCGACCTATTCATACACATCTTTACGCGGTAGTGCACTGTTGCTGTAGCGTTAAAACCTACCGATGAGTTTCAGCACTTGACACACCTTCCAGTCAGAGAAATCGGATCACTTCTCTTTGTTTCTCCTTGGTGCACATTGATAGCGGAGCAGTCATGTTTACACTATAAAAGCATCAAGAAAACTGGTGCAATTGATATCAAACTTCGATCACGTGACTACAAAAGTACCAGCTATAATCACGCATGAGCAGAAGGCAGTGAGACTAACCTAAGGATGTCATAGCAAAAGTGGGGATAATTTTTTTACTATCCCTCGTGTGCATGCATATATATATATATATATATATATATATATATATATATATATATATATATATATATATAAAGTAGTATTGAATTTTATTTATTCATAATTTATAGATATATACTTACATAAAGAAGTAATGTTCAGCTGTTAAATATGATATGAATAAACACTGAAATATAAAATTAATCAATAACAATTCCTTGCGTATGCGTCAAGTATTAATAAGTTAAAATTTCAATTTCTTGAGTGTTATCCTTTAGCTAAATGTGTACATATAAGTGCGTGGCCAGCGGAGGTTAACTAGTTAGATTTGTTGACAAATTTGTTATCGACTTTCACCCTTACCTATTACGTTGTTCTTTTATCTCTTTACCAACCTAAATCAGACAAAGCTTAACAAATATCCAATATGTGTCTCCATGCCTTAAAGCAGATTTTATTCCGCAAGCCAAGATTTTCAGGAAGTTGGGAGTAACCTTCCAATATACGCAAAATCTTCAGAAGACACTTATTTGGAAATGTAAAATTAGGCAGTTAGAGAGTTGTTCACCACATCCTAAACTGATACATATTAGTATAATTGATGATATTTATTTTTCATTTCTAATATATAAAGATTTTTCATGGGTTATAGGAAAGATATCAGAACAAAAGAAAAAAATAGTGTAAAATTATTAGTGTGAATAAAGTCTTGGAAATTACGAATAGGTTGAACAGAATTAAGAGAATAATCAAAAAAGAAATTTGAAAACATTTACAATATAAAAACACGAAAGAATTGATATTAAAATGTTACAAATAGATATTTGTGAAAAATTTAAATTGAAATAAGCAAGGAAATTTAATTGACAAGCAAAACAATATCTAAAATTGGTGTAGCAAATGTAAACACAGAAAAAGTCAAAATGTTAAACTGGGTAAAGAAATACATGAAGACCAAATTATCCCACAATAATGCATTGTAATGAACTTAGTGCTGGATAGATAACTTGGTTTGAAGTTCACTCCTCCATGGAAATAGTCAATGAAGGTGACTTAAAAGCTAACAATTGATAAGATAAATACGGTTAATAGCCAGCTTACCGAAAAATTGAAACACACTACATTAATGGAATAGCATCGAGCTTCTACAGATAACAATCCGGTAGAAAACTTGTTGTAAAGCATTATAAGTTATATATGCCATACCTCCCATAGTAATATGAAAGCTACTACAATAATAATTCATTTTTATATATGGAATATTATGTTGATCAAATATTAATTTATTAATTGATTCTTATTCTTCGGCTTGTCAACCCTTCGTAGGATATATAAAGCCAGAAAATATTTGTAGCTGCTAAGAATTTTTTCGAGATAATAATGTTTTAGCGATACAAGTCTTAGCTGGGAAGTGAAGAAGAAGTTGGATTAATACATTTTCCCAGTGGTATTTGCGCATGAGTGAATATAATGAAAACAAGATGAATTGGAACTCGGCTCTCCATTATCTATTACACCACCCACACACCCAAGCTTACAGCACCTGGTATTCCCAAGCAGTTACCTATGTACTGACTAGGATTGACATTGCTTAACTTCGGTGTTCTTACGGAAACCAGTGTTTCAACGTGATGTGGCTGTAAACTATTTAAATTTTAAGTAAAATTTATATTGCCCTTTCTTTGTTTCATAAAGTATGACAATCCCAAAACAAATTATCAACATTTATCAAAATGTTTAATAAGGATAGATATCATGGCACACGCTTATGCTTATATAAGTATATGGTAAATGTTTTACCGACATCGGTTGGTTAAGATCAATTTTATTGCCAAATATTTAATTGCATAATATATTCTGACATTTTACACAAAATCAGAAGACGGAGAAATAGGAATAGGAAGATCAGATATTGAGTTCTGTTGGGACTGATTTCTTGCTATCAATGGGCGACAAGAAAACATACCATACGACTATAGTTAACGTATCTGCGTCATACATCACAGATAGTACATTCTATTCTTATATTTATGAAGTCATTTCAAACTGGGTTTTGTGCAACGGCCTTGATAGTTGCCGTTGCAAAAGGATACTGTTAAGAGCATGCGGCTACTACGTAAAGTATGAATTTTACTCAGATTTTCTTCATATCTGGCCAACATCTATTACTTGCTTGGCAACTGCACATCTGTAGTGCAATTGAAATGATAGAGTAGACAGAAATATTGGGGGAGAGTGCAAATATAAACGAAAACAATATTTCTTTTTACTCTCTCTCTCTCTCTTCCCCCTCATATATATGTATATATACATATATGTGTGTGTGTTCTACTCTATTATCTTTTCTCTATCTGTAAATCGATCATCAACTACTGTTTCTTCCCACCTCTCTACGCAGTAGCAGTCATATTGGTACAGGGATTCATATCATTTAGTTAAATCCTGGATAAGTGTTCCACAAAGGTAACAGTTTTTTCCACTTAGCTATTTTTACATTTACATATTTAAAACAGTATATTATCTTTTACGTGTATATTCAGATATTAGAGAAAAAGACAGGAATTATTCTTGTAATCATAAAAATATATGAACTTATTTATTCTTTAGTTCTTTCATATCCAAGTAGATTCTTCAATTTACTTCAGCTTCTGAATTTCCCTTTTCGAATAATTCATTCTTTTATACAAAAATATTTCCACTTCCCTGTGACAGACATTTGACTTCAGATAGTGAATGTTTCTACTACTATCATTTTGTTTATTAAATATTTCAAAGATTTACCAATTAGTTGTGATGAAACGTAAGAGTTTAGGGAGTTATGAAATAAATAATTTTATTAGACAGTTGTTATAATTAGTTAATATACAAATTAAATATAATATTTTAAAAAATATTATTGTTTTTTCAGATTTTTGTTTAAACAAAAACACCGTAACACCGCATTATTTTGAATATTTAATGATCAGTACAAATTTAACAACAGAAAAAAATCTTCAAATTTGTTAAATTTCAACACATGTTACTGAATATTTTTTTTTATTCTTTTACTTAAGTATTATACAATTTGGAGTATATTCTCTTTCGCCTCCAAAAATGGAAGCAAAAACCTTGGAGTGGTGTCGAATCTTCCAAATTCTCAAGAGCTTCTAACACAGAACAATCTCACCAAGTGTAATCTTTGCGTTCAGTTTGAGATCCCAAAGGAATTGAGATACTTATAAATCTTTTCTCTACGGGAAATCTTGAGTTCTCTGTTAGCATTTACTTTTTAAAAGCATTTCACACAAACAAAAGTTGTTTTTTGCTACAAACATTTCTTAACAAAACCGTTTTAAAATATTTGATTTTGAAAGAATAAGACTGAAATGTTTACGTCATAATATTAATGGCTTATTACTTTTAAGTATACTGCAATATTACTTTTTATTAAACCTCGTCAATCCAATTAAAAACAAACGTATTCATCTGAGGAATAATTCAGTAGATCAATATACAGCTTTAAACACGAAAGCACATAACGCCAAAATCTTCAAAAATGATCTCCTAATTATTTGGCCTAATCAATGGCTAGTTTTTGCGCACCCAAGTACATATGTACTTACGTACAGACATACATACATTACTGAATATGGTTTTCAGTACCAATAGAATCAATAAGAATGTTGTTCTGCTTCGAGATTTTCTGAAAAGTTCAATATATCATTGAAATTTGTTCAGGATTCTCTGAATATTCTTTGAAGGTTCAAACCGTTTCTGTCAGATAATCACAAAAGGTAAATATAAAAATAAAAGTTGAAAAACATAATTTTACCAGAAATAAATTATATTACGAAAAATTAATTTCTTACTGATCGATTGATTTCGATTGATTGATTGATTTTCTTTTCTTGTGTTTATTATTTGTATGATTCGCATGAGATTAGAATTAAGACAAATTAATACGGATATAGATAAACAAAAAATTAGCTTACAAATGTTATTTCATATTTAGAGAATAAAATACGTTAAATAAACAGAATAAATAATGATATATATTCAGATGAAAGGGATAGATCTAAAGGAAATGGATGAATAACAATGACCACAGATTTTGTAATGGTAGGATAATGTCGTGCTTTAAAAATTCTGACTAAATATCAATTTAATCATCGCTAATCTGTAACAAGACTTTTATATGTTTTATTTGCTCCCGTTCAAATGAAAATTAAAACAAAAAAAGCAAATATCGTTAAAGATAATTTTACATTTTACGTTGATGTTTAATATTTATTTTTTAATTTATAATAAATCATCAATGATTTCAATTTTTCATCATCTCTCAATATGCGGAATTCTATTAAAATCTATCAATAGCCATTATTTCATTCATCATTAACCTTTATCCAATTACTTTTTCAATATCTTTATCCCAATCGTCATCAGTTATCACGTCATAACAGTAAAAATTCTCAAGAGATTTTATCCCAACTCATCCAATATATATCAATGATATTTTATCCGATTCTTCATTTGTCAATAATCCCATTAAACATCTATCGATGAGTTTATTTGTTTCATAACCTATATATAAATTTTTAATGATTTTAACAATGCTACTCTAATGAAAAACGAAAATAATTTACTAAAATGAAAATGTTTTAAAAAAGGGCTTTAATCGCTAGATCATCCATTGTATATTTGTGTCAATGTTTTTACAACGTTTCACCATTTGTGGCAGATCTTCTATTATCCCAGTGTGGAATATCTACTAACAAAATTGAAGGAAACATAAACAAAAAGAATCTAAATGAAATCAGCTAGATTATATACACAAAACACATATTATTAAAAAATATTTTTAAATTCCCATTGTCTCTGGTTCGCGCGCACGTCTAGTCGCATCAACGTAAGCATAAACTTAGTCCAATGAAGTCTAAAAGAACAAAATGCATCACAGGAAAACCTTTTCCTTTTTGTCTTACTTCTTTCTCCTAAAAAAAAGTCTTTATAGTACACTGACCATCTTCCAATTGACATTAATTATCTCTCAATAGCCATAAACCCATTCAGCATCTATTCTTAACCATTATTCATCATTCGTCCATAACCCCGATTCCATTATTTATCCATCAATAGCCTTTATTTTATTCATTATCAATTAATAATTTATATTACACACTTTTTTTTTAAATCAGTATAATCTTGAAAACATGTGATGGTAGTTTCCTTCGAGTATTGTTGATGACATTGAGAAATATCTAAATATCACGAAAATACACCGCTACATTTGTTTATTAATCGTTTGGAAGTTTCTCTTAATTATTTTCATCTTGAATGATTATATATCTACCTTAGACTTCAACTTCAGTGACTGTTTCAAAATCAGAAAATCTATTTGGAACTTCAAGGTCTTTGAAATATTGTGCAATCACCCCATTATACTTTGATAAGTGTATTTTCTTAAAACAAAAATATGTTGAATGTCCGAAGGGTAAAACGTCCATCAAAATGTATGTTCATGATGCAGATTAGGATGAAGTTTGTTGTGTGATGCCAAGTGATTTTAAAATTCAAACTGCTTGTGTTAGAAGCAATTGGCCAGCACATTCCTTTTAAACTCAAGTTATATAACATTTGCAAGTTACAGTTTTTCGAATCGAAAGATGAACTGGACAGACAAGGCATAGAGTGCATAAAAGTCGTGTGAATTCAACATCTAAGGCCACAAATGACAGTCGAATACCCTGGTTAAATGATTAATGAGTTCAGTCAACGTCAACACAATATGTTCATTAAATCATCTCTCATGTTTTGTTGCATTATTAACTTCAATGATACAACTAACTGATTTGTACTTCAAGCTGAATTTTACGCTCACCAGGATTCATGATGAGAGTGTAATGATAAAATAGATCTTGATTATAAAAAGAAACAATACAAAGTATTTAGCACAAAATATCCTACACGAAAAAATGGAAATAAAATAGTTTACTTATACTGAACTTATACATATACAGAGACACATTTTAACTCTAAAATATCTATCTATCTATCTATCTATCTATCTATCTATATATATATATATATATATATATATATATATATATAAAAGGTGGCCTGACGATTGCGTCTAGCATGAAACAGACTGTCGCATCTAAGTGTTGACTTCTATGTTCACTTATATATATATATATATATATATATACACATATATATATATATATATATGGTGCGATGTGTAAATTGTCGCCATTATATATTTTTATTTTCGCGCATCCGCGTGATTTGTTTTCTATTTTGTCAACTGCACAATATAGTAGGGTCAGTTGGGTACCGTCTGTGAGAAAGAGACCACCATGACGGAATTCAGTCCGCCATAAATTTGCAAAAGGGCATACTGCACTGCTTAGCATTTACGCCGAAGCTTCAATATGAACAGTTTTGGTGTGAAACTGAGGACAGTGCAGAGGAATCGGAGAGAGTTGAAGGAGTCGGTGATTACGAATATACGGAAATCTCATTCTGATTGTTCTGATAAGAAGAGATCTCCCGAATTTGTTGGTGAGGGCTTCAGACTCAACACTGAAGCCTACATCAAGTCCCCTTAGTGGGTAAATGCTGCCCTGAGTCAAGAGGTTGGCTGCTGAAAGATGCTATGTCTG